TAACCTGTGATACACTCAACCCCTCGCCCCCCGCAGTCCGTCCGCCACCTCAACAGGTCACTCTGAATCTAGCTTCCGGACACTTCCTCGGAAGTGATTTCGTCCCTTCTGTAGCGCCTCTGGGACTCGAAGACAACAATGTCAAGGCAGTAGTCTTACTGGCCATTTGAATTCTTTGTACACAATGTCAATTTTTTTTTTAATGGAAAAATGTCTCCAGTAAAACATGAGGGCACATTTCAAGACTTCCAAAAAATTCTCTGCATCTGTATTCTTTGTGAATAAACAAGTGACACAATTATCTCTCAGTGTGGGAAGTGCCTGCATCCCTGTTTAGAAGAACATAAGCCGGGCACAAGGTCTCTGCCACATGACCTTTATTACATGACATGGGGCAAAATTGTAATAATTAAATTGTAAGTAGCCCAGATGCCTCAGAATACCTCTGCAGTGGTTCCCTAATAAACTGCACATTCTATCGTTGATTACAGTTTATACAGACAAATAAGCCAGGCAAACCTTGCTGACTGGCAAGGTAAATGATGATGCCGAGCTCAGCCCTCCCGCTAACCCTCCATTGCCTACCTCTCCAAGGCCAGCCAGCCCGAGTTCATGGTCATCACGCGTGCACCATAGACTGAGAAGGGGGCCCTGTGCCCTCTCTTCTCCAGCAGGACTGCATACGCCCCCGATCATTTTTAACTGGCTGTGTTTCTATAATGTCAACCATAATAATGGTAAGATCTAATTAGGAACTGTGGTAAACTCTTGTGTTTTTGTAATAATCCATATTTGAAATATGCTAATTACAAGTGAGGCCTATCATGGCATATAGTGCATTTGACCTCTGGACCAAAATCTACCGACAAATACATAAGCGCACACACAAGATGAGCCAGGAGGGGCCGGAGGAAGGCGGACAGGGTGAGAGGGGAGCCAGGGTTTAACGAGGCGGTGGCGCTGCCCCACCAGGAAGGGAGAGGCTGCAGTGCCAGCAGCGGCTACGCAGGCCCGGGAACCGGCGGAGCAGGTTCGGCGGCGCTGATGTGAGCCACAGACCTGACATCCTTTCTGGAGGGGACAGTTATCCCCCACCCAGTCGCGTGAAAGCAGACCCAGCTGGGCGGCGCTTCCCGTTTTTCGAGAATCCACGTTATAAATATGAAGTCTCTTCATTTTTAAATGTTGCCATTAAAATAAATATTGAATGCCCCCCCCCCCCATCACATCTGGATCCTGAACTTGGTCTGCCAGCCACCAGTTGCAACTTTGAGGCTCGTGCTTCTTGTTCAGACGATACGCCGGAGACAGGCAGAGACACCTTGGGCAAAGCTCTTTCATGTCGGGTTTAAACCTGCAGCGCGGGCAGAGCACGGCACGGCACCTTCCTACAAGGCCCCTGTGCAAAGCAACGCACAAGCAGCAGTGCCAGAAACCAGCATTCAAGGCTGCGAGCCTGCTTGGTAGGCGTTTCGTAATCATCAGCCCCGGAGATAATGAAGAATCCTAATGACATAAATACTAATAAGAATGCTAATGACAGATGACTGCCAAAGCAGCTGTGCGTCAGCAATATTGTCCCTGCAAGAGAAGTGGCTTCCTCCACATTCTGCCGGAGACAGGTCTCTGCGAATAAAGTGACCCAAAGGGGGAGAGGAAGTGGCCAAGAAAACCGAGAAAGCCCACCACGAGGAGAGCTCCAGAACCTCAGCAAGGGGCCTGCGGAGGCCGCTGACCCTCACCTTACAGAGGCAGGTGACACCTGTTAAAGAATAAGTCTCCCTCCTGCCCTTGACCTCCAGCCCCTTAGCTCTCCTCCCCAGCGGTAACGCAGTTAGCACGTCGTTTTGTCTTAAAATATCCCAAGAAGAGCTGTTGCACACACGTTCTCTGAAGCAGAAGTCTGTTTTAGACCTGCATGTTCTTGTGGAATTTTAGGATCGGAAGGGACTGAGGTCAGTCCTCCCTCATACTTACAGCTCCTGAATACAAATCTAAGGGTAGAGAAACCCATTCCGCTTTTAGACAGTTCCAGCGGTTTATAAAAGATCTTTTACTTTTTGAATCCTGAAATCCACCACTTTGATGTTTTTCTGCATCCATTCTTGCTTTGACCTCAAAGGCCCGAGGAAACAGGTGGTCAGAAGCCTCGCGCCTGAGGCAGACGTGAATATGTCAAGGCCCCCGCTCTGTGGCCGCCATGGTCCTCGCTCCTCCCCCACTTCCTCAGGGCCTTTGCCACCTTATTCCTTCTAGAAAGGACAAAACTCATGTTTAAAATACTCAGGAACCTCGTCTATGAGAAAAACTGCCATCAGAGGAGGGAAAATGTAAAGAGAACAGAGAGCCTGTGCCAGGAACACCGACCGGCCGTGTGAGCTTTGCTATGGGAAATACCAGGAGCCTCCGCACGTCCTTGTTAACGTGGTGTGCACGGCTGCTTCATCCGTTACCTTTTTTTGGCCGGGGAAAAGTTTTGGTTGCGTCTCCTCTTCAAAGTTGCCAAGATATTCTGAAATAGAACCTGAGGTCCCGCAGTCCCTCCTTGTCTCAGGTTTGGGAAAGTTGCACTATGCATGGTGAGAAACGTGGCTGGGATTAGAGCTCAAGGCTGGCCTCGTGACCGGCAAGCAGGCTTTGGGACTTGGGGCAGGTTATTTGTGCAGCCTTTCCAAGCCACGGTGTCATCTTACCATAAGAGCCAGACAGACGTGCAGCCTGGCTCATAGGGGGACAGAAATGACAGTACTTAGTGGCACGGAGTCAGGGCTGCCCCTGCTGTTCCTGTGCTGGTGGCCTTTGCCCCGGACGTGGCCTGGGACGTGCCTGGCCACCGTCTGTGCAAGGCCCAGTCTGGGCAAAGCTCTGTCTCTGAAGATATCACTGTCCCGAGCTCGCTCGTACAGTCTCGTACTCTACAAGTCCCCAGTTACCCGTGCACGCCACGTACCTCCCGAAGAGCACCAAGTTATCCCGAGTGTCCCTCCTGTGTCTCAAGCTCAGAGGAGGAGCTCAGGCTTTGCACAGGTACCCGGGGATGCTGCGCTCACTCAGCCCTGCATTCTCTGGGGCCAACCCCTTGTGGGGGCTGTGCCTGTCATCTCGCCCCCTCGGGTAAAATCTTGCCAGGGAGCCCTGCTTCTTGCGACGTCCTCATGCCCTGCGGAAAGGCGACTCAACGAAACAGCACGGGGACGGTGTCACGTCGCGGAAGGTGGGCAGTGAGGACTCCGAAGCCTTCCCACGCTGCCCTCCCCCGGCGGGCTCGTGGCAGAAGTTCCCCCGCAGTCTTAACGGTCCGTTGCCGCTCCCATCAGTGGGCATTTTAACACGTGGGCCACAGGAGTTGCGCCGTCCACCGTTTTTCCTCAACAGAAGGCAGGCCAGCCGGAGCGTGGCCTTGTGGGGACAGGCACGGGGCGCGGTCCTGAGGCTCGTTCCCAGCTTCCTGCCACGTTCCGCCGCTGCGTGTCTGGCTTGCCTTCCCTAACCTGCGTGACGTCTGCCGCTGTGTTTCTTCACCAACTGTGTGACGTTGGTAACAGGCGACAGGTAAGAGGGGACCTCATTTGGGACCTGTGCTGCCGGGAACCAAGTACACAGACTGCGGAGTCTTCTCGGCCTTCTCCAGTCCGGAGCAGAAGGAGCTCAGGCGGCTCGGTGGTCGTCCTGGCTCGTTCCAACACAGGAACCCACATGACTCTCGGTGCAGAGGGAAGAGGCCGGTTCTGCGGATGCTGAGGGGCCCTGGGCTCTGCGCCTGCGGGAGGGGAAGACGCAAGGGTGTCCTCTCCTCTCCTCCCGCGACCCGAAAGGGTGCGCTTGGATTCCACTGCGTTGCTCAGACTGGGGGAGGCCAGCCGGACCGGTCTCCATGTGGGTAGGCGATATTATGAGGGCCGCTGGGGGTCTGGGCGCAGAACGGGCCCGGGGCACCTGCCGAGCGGGGAAAGAGCCACCTTGCGGAAATTATTTAGCTAACTTCCCCGCAGCCCCCAGACAAGCTAATTTCTTCGGGCTCAGTCCTCCCTGCCCTGCGCCTGTCTCCGTCCTGTGGGGCTGTCTCAGGGTGGTGGGGCCCCTGGCTTTTCCACAGAAGCACCTCCATGTGCGCTGGGGAAGTGCCTTTATTCCAGGCGCTTGACTTGTGGGAAGTAATTGACCACACGCGCCTGCTTTTCAAGCACCCCTGGCTGGCTCCTGGCCTGGGGGCGGTGGGGGGGGGGGCGGTGGCGAGTGGCCGCTGGCGGTCGGGCCCTCATGCACTCATTCTGTTAACCTTTCCCGAGGCCCGGCTTGGTGCCAGGGGTCGGGTGCCCTCATCTCCGACAGTTTCAAGGATGCTCGATGGGATGTGAAGGACCCTTCGGACTGGAGAGCTCCAATTCAGCCGCCTGGCGCTCCTGTCACGCGGGCTCAGCGAGGGACAACTTGGCTGCCAGGCCGTCTTCTGCCCCCACTAGGGTTCCGGGGTGCTGCGCAGGAGCTCGGAGAGGATGAAGGGGTGCTGCCCCCATCCACGCCATGATCCGGCCGTGGGCCTAAGTCTGGGCTAATTCGCCCGGAGCTGGTACCAATTTGTTCTGCAAGTTGAAGGGGGAAATGGCGACCCTGGCCCCAAGTAGGGAGGACGCAGGCTGGGTCACCCGGAGGGCAGCGCCGGTTCGCAGGCCGGGTCCTGACGGACAGCGCAGGGAACACCCTCTCGGAGACGAACTAGGGGCGCCCGCTCGGCTCCCCCTCGCCGTCCGTCCCTCCCCGCCCGCCCCAGAGCGCTTGGGGCCCCGGGGACCACCGCTGTCCGCCGCCTCCGAGCCGCTGCCGGCCCGCCGGCCGGCCGGCGGTGCCAGCTGCTGGTTTCTCTTCCCTCCTCCTTGCTTTCTACTCCTCCCGATCCCTCCTCCTGCGCCTGGTCCCTCCTCCTCCCAGCCCAGCCTCCCAGCCTCCCCGCCCCGCGAGCTAGACGTCCGGGCAGCCCCCGGCGCGCCGCGCCCGCCACAGCCCCCGCCCCCGGCTCGGTGCGCACGCCCGCGGCCAGGGCGGCTCGAGTCCCGAGCGATCCCCAGCCAGTCCCGGCGGCCGCCGCCTCCCAGACCGGACGACAGGCCAGCACCGGAGTCCCCGCCTCGCCGCTGCCGCCACCGCCAGCGCGCACGGCCGCCCGACTCCTTCCCGGACTAATTGCGGAGACCCGGAGCGAGCTCCTGGGGGCAGCGATGCGACCCTCCGGGACGGTGGGAGCCGCGCTCCTGGTGCTGCTGGCTGCGCACTTCCCGGCGGGGCTGGCGCTGGAGGAAAAGAAAGGTAAGGGCGTGTCGCGGCCCCGCGCCCTGCGCTCCGGCCAGCCCGAAGCCGGCTGCGCCTCTGGCCGGGACCGTGGGAGGGACGCGGCGCTGCGTTTCCTAGCTGCGCAAGCTGCGGGGGCCCGAGGACGGGATCGGGGCTCGGGACGCCCCGGAGCGCTCGCAACTTTCTTCACTTTCCTGCCGTCCCACGCGGGGCCAGCGAACGTCCCGGCGAGTGCGCCCCGGGGGCTTCCGAGGGACCGCGGGAACCCACGCCACCCCTCGGGTGCCTCCCGGGCCTCCCTGCACCGCGCCTGCTCCCGAAACCGGCTCGCGGGTCCTTTCTTCGGGCTGCGGCTGCAGCCCAGGGCCGGGAGGCCCGCGGTGCCCGTCGCCGTCGCTGACTACCTGTAGCTACCTGCGAGGGACTTAGTGTTCTCTTCGGAGAGAGCGGGTGGGGCCGGACCCTCGAACCCCCTCCCGCTCGCCCGCGCCCCTGGGGCCCGCGGGGTCTGGGGAACGGTCGCTCCGACGACTTCCGAGCTTTGCCTCCCACCTGCAGCCCTTTGGTCGCGTCTCTGGGCTTCGGGGCGCAGCAGGCAGAGCGGTGCGACGGCCGCGGGGCGACAGCTGTGCCGAACTTCCCAGAGATGCGGTCCCCGCCGTTTTTTGTTTTTTTGAAAATAGCTCACAGCAAACTTTCCTCCTCAAAGAGCCCAGATTCTCTCTTGGGGATCTTTCTTTTAGCTTTCTGAAGGCTTTGACACTAGGCCAACCAAAATATTAAATTTATTTTTTAAAAACACGGATCGGTATCCGTGGTTCACGTGTGCCAGATGCCCAGCGCTCCCACCAGCGAGCCTGGCTTCGTGACTACCGACCATCGACCCAGTTAACGTGAGAAACATGCCTTGGAAGGTTTAATTGCACAATTTCAAAATCGAGCAGCCCGGGTTCCAAGAGTCAGGTCTGTACTTGCTGTTGATGTCATCGGCCCAGACAGCCGGGGTTTGCGCTGAGCGCGAGCGCGGGGTGGGGGTGGCGGGAGCGCCAGGGCCTGAGCCGCCGTTCCCAAACTCTGCTGCGGATTAGAGTCCCTCGGGGTAGGACACCCAACCAAACCTGACCGAATAAAACTGACGCCTGCCCCCACCGCAGACATTCCGGTTGCCTTGGTCTGAGGCGACACCCGGCCATCCATCGGCCATCCATCGGGGATGTTCAAAACTCCTCAGGTGACTCCGTGGGGCGGCCAGGTGTGGGGGGATCATTGGCACAGAGGAGAGATTGGTAAAGACTCCGGAAGGACCAACTGGCAACGTAAGGAGCCCTTTTGGAACATCTGGAGTGTTAAGCATCTTGCAAAATACGGAAAAGAGGAGGTGGGAGTGATTTCAATGTGAGTGGATGTCTTTTGGATGAAAGCTTGTCCCCCTCTAAGTCTGGCCGGCGCCCCTCCCCCGCTGTGGGCCCTGAGGGTCCTCAATCAGCCGGTGTGCAGGGGCCTCCCAGGCAGGTGTGGCTCTGTTCCTGCTTCGGGGCCAGATCCCTACTTTAAATTAAACTATCAGAGTAGCTTAAGCATCCCTTTTCCCCAGAAACGCGTCCAGCTTGTTGCTGTTACCCTTTTGAACACGACTCTTAGTGCTTGGAGGTTCGTTTTGGAAAAAATATATATAAATACCATTTAATTTGACGGCTAATCCTGTATTTATTTGCTCACAACAGAATGCTCCTGGAAAAAGCAAACTAGTGGGACTGAGCAAGCAAATGTCATTCAGTGACAGGGACATCAAAAGACCAAAATGTACGGGGCAAATTATTAAAAATATAAGATGAGATTTACAAGAAGTGTTCAAGACTCAGGTCAAACAAGTTCAGTCAGTTTTGTTCAAGAAATGCGACCCACCTGAGAGACTGATTTGGTTCTGAGATACGGTTTCTCCTGTCCTGCTCACACCTGGTACTGCTGTCGGACGTGGCTTGGCATGTCCTCTGGCTCCTTCTGACCCTCACACCAAGTATCTGAGGCGGGAACGCTCGTAGGTGGGGAAGCTGAGGCACAGAGAAGTAAACTGACTTTCCAGCCGCTAGAAGAGGCAGAACAAGGGTTCTTGACCCCCCACCCTTCCTCAGACTCCTAACCCTACTGCCCGGCGTGAGCTGTGCCTGTAGGAGAGCATCTGATGTCGGGTGCTGGGGTGGGGGGCGGGAGGAACGGGACCAGGGGCTGAGCTCCTCAGGACAGTCCCCCGTGTGCACTTGGATCAAATGGCTGCCTGGTCAGATCTGGGCTCCTACTCACAGTCACTCAGTGGTTGCTCCGGCCGCCTTTCCTGGAGGCAGCTCAGCCCCCAAGTGAACAGAGAGCTCGGAGACTGCAGGAGGGGCTCTAAGCAAGCCCCTTGCTCTGGCCAAACGCGAAGGGGGCGGCCTGGGTGGTGTTGGGGGGAGGGCAGGAGCCCCCCACCCAGCGAGCCTGCCCTGGCCTGCCTCTGAACACATCCGTGACTTTTGACTGTCTTCTCTGGCTTCCGATGTTCCGTTTCATAGTCCATGGTGTTTGCAAAGCTTCGTCGGCAGCTTGTGGGAGCCGAAGGCCAAGATGCCCCTTGCCGCCTTCATTAGGCGGGGCCACGTGATAGCACTACCTGTTTTGAAATGTTTTTAGAGGTAGTATCAGTCAGGAGGAAGGATTCCACCCTATTTAAAAAGAAAATACTCTTTGTTTTTCCTTTGATCTAAGCTCCAGAACCAGGAGCTTGTATCAAACTTTTTCAACCAGGGTGGCGAGCCAACTCTAATATTAAGTGGATAATTAGGGGTGTCGAAGGGAAGATAGCCCCACACTGGCACCCCAGGCCCCGGCGTGGGGAGAGGGCTGCACATGTTGGGGATGCTCAGCTAGCTTGTGGAAGGGCCCTCCTAGGAAGTCGTGTGGCCCTCGCATGTGGCTTGCTGTGATAGGTGTGCTTGTGGCTGTGTTGCAGTTTCTACGTAGCACAGCAGAAATGGGCTTAGTTACAGCTGGGTTTTACTTACAGGGGTACGTTTTGAGAAAAGGTTAAAGTTCTAGAATATGGCTGCCCCATGCAGCATTTCCCTGGAAATCCAAGGAAACTAGATCGGGCTCCTCAGAACTCCACTGAACAACTTCCATTTTGTTTTCTTCTGTCATTTATGGGCATTTGAAAATATGAAAGAAACATTCTTGGTCTCGGGTAGTTATGGCTGGTTTATTCTTGAACCATGAACACCAATGAGATAAAGTATAAAGCTTGCTCTCGAAGGTCATTCCCTTTTGACGTCAGAGCTTCTGCTCATACCTTCTTTTTCATTTTCCTCCTAAAAGGTTGCCTTTTCTAAGAAAATTCCAACATTTGACGGTGGTCTGCCATCCAGCCCATGGGTACAAGCAGTGAGTTTGAGTTTGGGCAAGGATCCAGGGTTTGTTTTTTTCTTTTTAAGATTCCATTTATTTATTTTTAGAGAGGGGGAAAGGAGGGAGAAAGAGAAGGAGAGATACATCAATGCGTGGTTGCCTCTCACACAGCCCCTACCGGGGATCTGGCCCACAACCCAGGTACATGCGCTGACTGGAATCAAACCCGCAACCCTTTGGTTCACAGGCTGGCGCTCAATCCACTGAGCTGCCACACCAGCCAGGGCAAGATCTAGGTATTAAGCCTTATGTCACAGTACCAGTTCGACTGAAATTTTCACTTTTTCAGCGTCATTAAGTCCAGCTTTCGTCTTACGGATTTAGGTAGACACACTCGATTCGGGTGTCCAGAACATTCCCGGAGCCCGTGGGAGCAGGAGAGGTGGTCGGAGCCAGCGCGCCGGGTGGCTTGCTGTCATAGCCCTCGTTGAAGCTGAGCGCTGCACTGGACACGTCCCTCTCCAAAGGCACGAAGGCGCAGTGTCAGATGCCTGGCCCCAGTGACTGAGCAGCCATGAACTGCATATGCTCAAAATAAATTCTACTCCTGCCACGTTTCGGCAGCTTGCTGAAGACTCAAGTGTGCACGGGAGGGTAGAATTTCCGCCGCTGTTCCACATTACGTCCTATTCTGGCAGCTCTCACAGGAAGACCCAGAGTCAAAGTGTCCTTTCCAACCATATCTGGAACATCTCATTAACGAGAGCCTCAAAATGCAATTTAGGGGACTGATGGCCAGATGAGAATGCCTGTCCCCAGCACTAAATACACCCACAATTACACCCTGTCACTGCTGGGCCCGCACACGGCCTTGATTCAGTGTAAATAATTACATAAGCTAACCGCTGTTGTTTGTCCTTTCGTATAGGAACAAGTATGGCGACCTATTACAACTTGGGCTTTTGTTTGCATTTTTTCCTTTATGTTCCAACCACAGTGAGCGACTTGGGCTGTTCCGTCCGCATTTTGAGCTGTAGGGATGAGTCACGCATGGTGCTTGTCTCAAGTGTCCGGCAGTCAATTAGGGGAAGAGTGATCTGCAGATAGCAGGTGTGAAACTGTCACCGAAGCAATGATAGAATTCTGTGCAGGAGAGAAAAGTCTGCTGGTGCTTGTCTTTGCTTTTAATCCCCCCAGAGAGGGGGCTGGGTAGAGCCCCACGTGGGAGGGATTACTCACGGGAGCCTGCGGAGAGCTCGGGGTATTTCCCGGGAGAACACAATGTGGAAGACGTTCCAAGAGAAGTGCCTGGAGCAGCCATGGTCTGCAGAGGCTGGGGAGTCGGTCAGTGATGGAAAGAGATGGGAGAGGTGGTGAGGCCACCGTTCGCGGAGAGCGTCGCTGTGCCCGTGTAAGAGGAGGGTCACCGCGAGGTTCTGAGCTAGGAACCGGCGGGGTGTGTCTGGAACTTCAGAAGGATGACTTCAGCCGTGGGCTCTCAGGGTGCGGTGGAGACTGGACGGTCCAGGCAGGGGTGCAGAGACGGGGAGCAGGAGCGACGAGCGTGCAGAGCAAGCGACTCGCTCAGGCTGGTCTGGAGGTAGAACTGATCGATAAGTGTGTGTAATGAGTATAAT